TTTTTTGTATCTTTAGCGTGTGCTTTTCTGTCCTTGTGAATGGAGCTTCGACGGGGTTTTTCTCTAGTTCGAGGGGCTTGAGACAAAGGGATTCGCTTTCTCCTTTCTTTTTTCTTTTTGTGATGGAGGCTCTTAGCAAGTTGTTGAAAAAGGCTGTTGATTTGGGATTGTTGAGAGGCTTTCGGGTGGGTAAAGATGTTGCTAGTCAGTTGAAGATTTTTCACTTGATGTTTGCAGATGATACTTTGGTTCTTTGTGATGTTGATGCGTCCCAGCTGAGAAATTTGAGATGCATTTGATTTGGTTCCAAGTTGTCTCTGGGCTTAAAGTGAATGTTGGAAAGAGTGTTTTAGTGCCGGTTGGGGATGTTCCTGATATTGAAATGTTTGCTCAGATCCTCGGATGTGGCACTGGCTCGTTTCCTATTTCTTACTTAGGTTTGCCTCTGGGTGCTCCTTCGAGATATGTGGGGAGTTGGGATCCGGTGGTGGATAGATTTGAGAAGAGGCTGGCGGGTTGGAAGAAGCTGTACCTCTCCAAAGGGGGGCGGGTCACTCTGATCAAGAGTACTCTCTCTTGCCTTCCCACCTATTTTATCTCCCTTTTTCAGATTCCTTCTTCGGTGGCAGAGAGAATTAAGAGTTTGCAGCGGAATTTTCTTTGGGGAGGGAGAGGAGAGGAGAGGAGTTCAAATATCATCTGGTACGATGGGAGCAAGTGTGCCGTCCTTTTCGGAGTGGAGGTTTAAGGATTCGAAGGTTGTTGCCTTTCAATAGGGCTCTTCTTGGGAAATGGCTTTGGAGATTTGGGGTTGAGAGGTTTGGCTTTGGAGGAAAGTTATTGCCAGCAAGTTTGGGGAAATCAGTGGTGGGTGGTGTTCTCTTGAGGTGCGTGGTCCTAGGGGTGTGGGGGTTTGGACTTGCATTCGAAAGGGATGGGACGTTTTTCGTAATCATGTTCGCTTTAGGATCAGGGATGGTAGGAGAATCAGATTTTGGGAGGACCTTTGGTGTGGGGAGCTTCCCCTTGCTCTCTCTTTCCCTCGGCTTTACAGGATTGCTTCTGACAGGCAGGTCTTGGTGGTTGACTGTTATCACCTTGATAACGGAAGACTAACTTGGGACGTTCCGTTTAGGAGGCATTTTCAGGATTGGGAATTGAGGAGGTCACTCGTTTTTTGGAGTTACTATATCGTCAGGTGATCTCTCATGAGGAGGCTGATTGTTGGCTTTGGAGTCCACACTCTCAGGGTCGATTCGAGGTGAGATACTTTTTCAGGTGCCTTTCTGTTGGGGAGGGTGGCACTTTCCCTTGGAAGGCTATTTGGCACTCCAAGGTTCCCCTTAAGGTGGCCTTCTTTGCTTGTACGTCTGTCTTGGGTAGGATTTTAATCCAGGATAATTTGATGAGGAGGAGAAAGCAGGTGGTTATCAATCGCTGTTACTTATGTCGTCGCGATGAGGAGACAGTGGATCACCTTCTGTTGCATTGCAGTATGGCCAGAGATTGTTGGGATATGATGATTGGGTTATTTGGGGTCCCCTGGGTTATGCCCTGTTCCTTTAGAAGGTTGATTGAGGCTTGAAGAGGTTGCTCTGTTGGGGCGCTCATCCGGGATGCTTGGAGGGCTACCCCTCTCTGTGTTTGGTGGTGCATTTGGCTCGAGAGGAAACGGAGATACTTCGATGCAAGGAGAAACCTTATTTCTATGCTTAAGTTCTCTATTATTTCTACTCTCTTTTGTTCGGTCTCAGGGAGAGATTATCGTTTTGTTGAGGAGATTGTTTATTGTTTTGGCCTCTTTGAAGGCTTGAGGCTTTTTGTGGCCTTTTCATCTTTGTTTCCATGGGTTTCGCTCCCCTTTGAGCGTTTTTTATAAAATTCTTATAAAAAAAAAAAAAAAAAAATTTTATGGTATGAGTTTTTATTTATTTCATAATTGAGTTTATTTTTATTCATTCGTAAAAGTACAATACTAAGCATTTTAAATAATGATAGCGACTTAAAATTCATTAATAAGTCATTAGTTGTGTTGAATAATCTTAAAAAAATCAATAAATTACAGAAATTCTCTAACTTTACATCTTTATCGGATTATGTCAAAAATTTGTGTATTGGTGCACTTTGGTGCTACGTGCAAGGTTGAGAAAAATTTACCATTGTGAAAACCGATTCAATTCCGTTACACCGCATCTGCAACTGCGAACGTTGGTTTAAATGCAACACTTATATTTGGTTGCACAAATTATAGTAGAGTGAATTCCGAAAACCCTTCCCGGGGAACCCGACCAAACCATCTCATCCATCCCATCTCCCTCCAATCACCTAGCTTTACAACAATGCTAAGAACTCCACTACCTCCGCAAGCTCCCAATCAGGGAACTTTCTCCAAAACTGCCCATCCCAAGTCAACCCGCTAGCAATCCTGAAAAGACTAGGGTACCTAGGGGCCATAGCTACATCCCCACACTAGAGATACTCCCAAAACCTGACATGCCTCCCATCCTTGACCCTGAAACAAATGCGTCTGGAAAACTCATCCCAAACCTTCCAGGTAAGCTTCCAGATCCCCACTCCTACAGGAGTTTTAGCCTCTCTAGACAACCACCCTCCACCATCCTTCCCATCCCTGCAAGCAATAACCCTCCGCCACAGACTGGACCTCTCTCCCCCAAATTTCCTAAGGCACTTGCCCAACAAAGCCTTGTTGAACAAGTCCAACCTCCTAATGCCTAACTTGTATTGTTTTCTTTTGCATATGTGAGTCTTGGGTGGCTGTTACTGCTGATCAGCATGTCCGTAGCATTTGACCCACTTTAATATCGATATTTTTTTTTTTTTTTTTTGATATTGTCTAATGTGAATGATTTTTTCCTCATATTTTGGGCCGGGGACCGCACATCATTAGAATTGTTAGTTTGACAAAATTCATTGAGTGGATAATATCACTAATTAATGATGTGTTCTTAATTGTGTTGATACTTTAATTAAAAAATTATGCAGTAATGTGATGACTATTTATGTGAACCACGTGTTAGGTTTGATACACCAGCAGGCTTTAAACTGAATAACCTATTTGCAATTTCACTTGGTCTCCCTAATGCTGTTCACCCGAATTAGTTATGTAACCAAAGTATTTTACATGTATTAGCAATTCCAATTGGAATAGAAATATAGAATATTAAGAAATGAGAAACTTGAAATGTATTGTTTACATGCTGATATACATTACTAATAGGTGTAGGACTTCATTGAGTGTTCTCGAGAGGTCGGTTTTCAAGTTGGTTCATCTGCTCTCCCTTCTTTGGTTCCAAGTGTCTTTTTCTAAGGAGGTCATGTGCTTAGGCTTTGAAAGGGCATTAAGAAAGGGTGGAGTGAGTTTTCTAAATACGTTGGATATGTTGTTGGTGATGACCATAGAGTGAGAAGTTGGTAGGCAATTTATTGTGAAGAAGGCTATCAACCACCTTTTCACAATGAGGTGTGTGAGAGTTGTGGTGCTTAGTATTTTCATTGTTTGGATTTATATTGGTGTATGTATCGTTCTACTTGATATACTTTTGGCCGCTACTTGGGAGGTTGTTAGTCAAGGATCCCACAAAGTTTGATAAGCTGCACCTTTATGAATGATATACATTGCGCGCGCCGTCGCGGTGGCAAATAGGCGTTCCTGAGTATATAGAAATGCTTGTTCATATGATTTAGAAGTTAGCGTTTTCATTTTTGGTTTTTTGTGAGATTCCTAGAAATTACTTTGCATTCTTTTGCTATTTTTTTGGGGTGATTTGTACTTCTTTTGTGCACTGGTTGCATCCCCTCGACACTTTGTTTATCTTATGCCACCCTTTTGTTAACGGAAGAAAAGAAAAGAAAAAGAAAGTCCATGGTATTTTGATTTGCTTTTTCCCATTATTTTAGAAGAAGAGCTTGGAATAGTGTGGTGTTGGAAATATGCCCATACAAATCCTTTTTATGTAATGCAAAATGATTTAAGGTTTTTGTCACTGTACTTAATCAAGAAAGATAATTCAGTTCAATAGGTTTGCTTCTCAGGGCTTGTTGTTAGTTACATTTTGAGATTGATCATTTGATGTCAATAGTAAATTGTTATTACTTATTTGAGAGATGCCCAGATTAGAGTTTTGATTTTCAGATTCTACATGGGGGATTTTTTTTTTTGGAATTGGTAACTAAAAGCATTTAAAATTTGAATGGGATTTCTTTGACAATAAGCAAGGAGTGGGATTAATAAGCTTTTTTGGGGCTGGAGTCTTTTTTTTTTTACAAAAATGTCTCTATGCTTGTGCATGTTAAAAAGTTAGGCTAAGTTTCTCTGACTGCCACTTGTTTACTAATATGCGTCATTGGTTTTGACCATTAGTATAGTTGACTTGGTGTTGGTCTCCAAGTTATGGTGCATGCATTTGACAACACTATTTTATGAGAGTAACCACTAAGGCAATTTACTCATTAAGAAGATTAATGAAAGATTGTAGAAGTAAAAAGAAAAAAAGTTCACATGATTTTAATTGATATTGAAAAGGCATATGATCGGTACAAGGGATGTAATTTGGTGGGCGTCACAAAGAAAATGAATTCATATTACTGTTATTAAAATTATCCAAGATATGCATAGAGATACGAAAACTAGAGTTAAAACCATATATATAGAGAAAATGATGATTTTATATAGTAACAAAAAAAAAGTGAAAAAAATAATTCATGTGGCGCCAACGAATGGGAAAAAGATAAAAATGATTATGATTTTATGAGAGTCACTGTTGTATTACTCATGCAAAAAAAAGTTATAATAAATTTCTCTCTCGAGTTTTCTATTCTTTTTTTTTTTAAACCTGGTTTTGGATCAACTTCCTTTTCTTATCTCTAGTTTCTTTCCTTTTGCATGTTGACAAATATGAAACGCTCATTGCTTTTTGTTCATTGCCTTTTGTTTAGTGTTGATATACCTTTAGGGCTTTTGGTGTTGGTCTCTCTTGCAGGTTGAGAAAGCTCATGATGCCGACCTTCACTGTGTTGATTGGAATCCTAATGATGTAAATTTCATTTTGACGGGGTAATAGACATTCTGATGTCTTCTTTTGTCAATCCATCAAATAAAATACTTCTTTGTTTTTGGTCAGATCAATTAAAGAATTTTAAACACTATGAGCAATTTGTTTAACAATTTTAGCACCAACCATTTTTGTCATTTTTGTCTCTGCACTTGGAAATTTTATTTTATTTTTGATAAGTCTCTGCTCTTGGAACTTTTAATTGTCAATTCCATTGTTTTCTTTTCTATTTTTTTTTCCCAGTTTTTTGATAGAATCTCTTGTGCTGTTGCTTCAGGTCAGCTGATAATTCTGTTAAGATGTTTGACCGCCGAAACCTCACTTCTGGAGGATTAGGGTCACCTATCCATATATTCGAGGGTCACAATGCTGCTGTCCTCTGCGTACAGGTGTTAAAAAGAATAATTCGTTGGCTTATCCTTGTTACTTTTTTAAAGTAATGCTTCTGCAGAAAATAAAGCTTGTTTGGTTTCTCAGATATTTTGTAACAAAAATTGTTCATTTGTTACCAGTGGTCTCCAGACAAGTCATCTGTCTTCGGAAGTTCAGCAGAGGATGGCATCCTGAACATATGGGATCATGAGAAGGTGTGAGGCTTAAATTATTGTTGACTGGGCCTTCATTCTTATCATTACTCTCATCCTGCCATGTAAAAGATACAGATTGCAGATAGAAAATTGCAACCCTAAAACACTACAAGGACAGCCCATTGACAAAGAACATAAAATGTGTATGCTATTACTTTGAATATGTGAGTGTGAGACGATGGTGATGTTTTAAAGACAAAGAATTAAAGAAATATGTTGAACACATTGAAGGCCTTCAGGAGACATCATAGGGAAACCAAAAGGTTTATATCATGTAAAGTTGCTTGTTATTGGTTCTTTCACGAGCAAAATGGTTGGAAATGGTAATATATGATTGAAGATTTATTAATAGGATTTGTTATTCCTTGTATTCCAATTTGAGTTCATGTGGGTTGCATGAGATGAGGGTAGGCTTTGGCACAAAGGTAAGGTTGCCGCATCGTGATCTGGACGTCACGAGTTTGAAAAGGAAAACAGTCTCTCCCACGTGAGAGGTAAGGCTGCATATATCTTACCCTCCCCACCGCAATGTTGCCTGCCTTTAAAAAAAATAGGTAAATAAAATTAAATAAAAAAAATAAAAATAAATTGGATGCCCTTATACTCTCACTCCCACTCCCACTCCTGCTCTATGTCAATTAGGCTGGAGCATCCACTTCATTCTTCATTTAGTTATCAATAAATTAGAATATGGAATTTTCTGGGCTTTCTTGATAAATTAGTTTTTTTAGTTTTAGGCTTGAACTTCAAAAGGTTTATCAAAGCATTGTTGGTATTGGAGGCATGCTGGATCAAATGAGAGTTCATATGCACCAATTACTCTTCAATTTATCTCTCCAATTTGAGCTATTCCTTGTCTGTTGAATTACTGCTCTTTACGGCGTTGATTTTTTTTCCCCCCACCTGTTTTAAGCTATAAAATGTTTCTTAGAAAAAAAAAATTCCTACCTTTTATTTGAATGTACTATCTGATTTTGTGAATCATGTATGAAGTAGAACAACCTATTTCCATATTTAATTCAGTTGGTTCATGTATATTCTTATCAAGAGTCCGAGCCTTGCTAACATTTTTTAACATTGCTTCACTATTCTCCTCAAATATATTTTAACATAGTTTATTGTGTTCCAGATTGGTAACAAGCAAGACAATATTGGGGCAGGAGTGCCGAGTTCTCCACCAGGCTTATTTTTCCGACATTCTGGGCACCGGTATGAATCTCCCTATCTTCAAATTTGTGTCCTGTGCCATATGTGACAAAGCACCTCCTTGTATAGTAAATATTAAGTAATTGGAATTTGTAGATCTAGTGCTTTATCTTATGTAAGTTGATCCTGGTTGTTAATGATCATTAAATGATTTATTTACTATTGAATTTTTTTGAATCAATGGCTGTTTCTGTTTTTCATGTATGAAGTCACAGTTTTATTCATTTTGATAGGGATAAGATTATTGACTTCCATTGGAATGCGTGTGATCCATGGACGATTGTTAGCGTGTCTGATGATGGTGAAAGTACCGGCGGGGGTGGTACACTGCAGGTTGGTGTGACATTCTCTCACTTTTCTTTCACATTGATGAATGGCTTTCAGTGTATTTACAGGTTTAAGACTGCCCTTATTTACCGAGATTATCAACTGTGATACCAATACTGAGAGACACATCAAAAGGTTATTATTGAGTGTGGTCCCCATTAACATAGGGTGCTGGATGGGGTAGACTAGATAGAGATTGAACATTTTGACATTATTGTAGAAAATCACTCCTCAAGATTTGACCTGTGTTTTCACATTTGATAGCATGATCATTTACAAGTGCAACAAGCAATGGTCCCTAGAAGAGGAAAACATCATCTTATGGAATTAGATTCTTGATTTGTTCAACGGATTAGTATCGAAACCCCAATAGGAACGAGTAGTTGCATTGCCTTGTTTGCAGTGTTGGAAATTATGGTAGATCTTCTCATGTTTTGTATGGCAACCAATTATGATGTTGCCTCATGAAACAAAGGAAAGTCTTCCTCACTTGATACCTGGCTTTTTTTTTTTTTCCTTCTTTTTCTTTTTCTCTTGGTAAATGTAATAATTGATTTTCCTGCCCATACGATGTACAGTTTCTATCTTTCCTTGGTTAAAGCAGTATTTATTTGGTTGCAGATATGGCGGATGATTGACTTGATTTACAGGCCAGAAGAGGAGGTCCTAACGGAGCTGGATAAGCTTAAATCTCACATTCTTACATGTACCTCTTGATGCATACGAAAGCAAACCTAGATAATGGAAGTAGGAAAACCCTCCAGCTTTTAATCCTGATGTACTTGGTATTGCAAAGACTAGGATAGTCGTCAAATTAGTTCATAGAGGTCTAGTTTGTGTTTGGTCCTTTTAGAGTTGGTAACAGTGTTTCATTTTGGGGCGCTATTGTCGGACATATTGGCCCCTCCAGAATTGAAGATTTAGGTTGTCACAAACTTCATTTTGCTGTCTTCGAGGCTGTGTCCTCGAGTGTCTGCACCATTTGGAATGTGCTTTTGCGGCTTGATATGGGAAGATAGTATTCTGACTAGTTATGTTCTCCTCATGACTTATATGTGGATCTTAGGTATGCGATCCTAATGAATCTGTCTCAATTTTACATAACTTGGTTGGGTCTGATTATAATTGCTTGTTGAATTGCGAATGTTCAGAGTCTAGGGTGTTGATATTTCTCTTCATATTTCTTTCCATGGTCGTTGATAGACTTTAAAGTTTAAACGTGGTAAATGTGAAAATGTTGTGACAAGTAAAATAATGGCAAAACTGATAGCTTCCTTGGTTGAGTTTCAAGATTTGATTGGAAAAAAAAAAAAAAAAAATGAAAAATCGAGGGTGCTGTGTTTGGCAGGTAAAACAATTTAGTGATGACAAGAATGATATCTTCAGGTCATTCTTTATTGGGATTATGGCTCTCGAAATAATGCGTAAATTTCTTGGTGTGAATTTGAGCTAGCAAACGTAAAAAAGTGAGTAACTGGGATGATCGGTATGTGCAACCGATGCGAAGCTAGGTTGGTACTATCTTTCTGACCAAATGATTCCAATTAACCTTTTCCCAGTCCTATTAAGAAACTTGAGTATTGAACTGTTGATAAGTTACACTGAAAAATAATGGGAGGGAATCTACTCAAAAATAATAATAATAATATAATAAATAAATAAACGGAATTATGTCACTCTAAAACCCCTCAAATATTTGTTTTTTAATTTCTGAAAATACAAGTCAGCCTTAAGTTTTTGGTGTTGTATATTTAGGGCACGTTGGCAACTGTTTTCATCTTGCTGAAACAAAATTTTCGTTTTTGTTGTAAAGTGTGTTCAATAGTGATTGGAAGTATGTTTGGTAATGTAAAATTTGTTGCAAGATTTTTTGAAGAAAAACATGAAAATGTTGAAAAATAAAATGATTTAGTGTTTTTATTATTATTATTATTTTTTAGGTACAGTCCCACCTTACCATGTGAAAAATCAAGGTATACTTTGTTTCCTATTTAGACCTCTTTTCAACAATAAACACAGTATTATTTTACCAAACACATTGCGTTTTTTCACTTTTACACCACCTGTGACACAAAATACAAAATTACTAAGCATGCCCTTAAATAGCTCACCCAATTATGGTAGAATTTTACAGTAGATGTTTTCTGTTCTGCTTGTGGGGCTTGACATCTTCATTTTGGACTCTTATTCAACCTATGTTTGGAACTTTGGCTAGAAAATTTGCATATGTTTCATGTCCCCTCCAAAGACATTATATGAAAATTTCAAAATATAAGAAATTGTATATTTTATGAGTAGTGATACGTGGCCAGCAATCTCAAAGTGAATTGTTTAACCATAAATTTTTAATTGATTATTTTATTAAATATAAAAAGGTCCAAGTTCTATTTCTCCGATATTGCATATATGATCCATTAAGACTTGACAGTCAAGTAAATCACTTTAATTAATGAACTTACAAATTATTTTTTTTAATGTTATTTATTTATTAAAATAGAAAGCTTTTGGGGTGTTTTGTAGGAAAGAAAAAAGAGGTGTGAAAAAAAAAAATAATAAGAAAGAAGTAACGAACTTCCTTTATTCGGTATAAATGATAGGAGGAAAAAAAAAGAGAATATTCTTTACAAATTTTCATCCGTCCAAAAATGTGCGAAAAAAAGGAAGGAAGACAATTGGACTATTATATAAGTTTTAAATTAAATACTATTCTAAATTATACAAAATTTAAATTACTGTACTATCCTCAATATTATAAATATTATTTGATATAATGGTAAAAAAAATTAAAACTTTCTCTTTCCCTCTGTTCTATGCTATTCTATTCAATCGAACAAAACGAGAGAAAAATACAATCTTTTCCTAGGATGTCTTATCAATTCCTTCTTCTCCATTTCTATCCAATTTTTTTTCTTTCCTACCGAAATTTTTTAAGATCTTGTAAAAACAAAAAAGGAGTATTTGCATTAATTCTTAAAGAAAAAAAACAAAATAAAAAATTTTAAATGGTAATTTTGTCCAAGCACTTTGGCTTGTCACCTATAAAATATATTTAATATTAAATGTAAAATAGAAAAATAACGCACAGGAAGGAGGAGATCAGTGTCATCATTAACCACTTATCAAATGATAATTAATTACTTATCATCATTAACTATAAATAAATATAAATAAAGCTACTTAGAATATCAGTGTAATAAGTTTTTAAATGCAAATCTGGTCACGACCATCTCCTGTCATTTTGTGCCCATTTTATCCCTGCTATTAAATCAAATATAGCAGACGCTGTATCTCACTGTACCACATACGGAGTAACTATATAACATCGGTGTAATTACATACAATACTTATGCAATACATTTTTATTAAATATAAAATACTTATATAACATATTACATCCATCAAATAAAGAATTTGGCAAAATTATCTGTTTTTTGTTTATTTAAATTTGTTCTGCTAAATTGACGAGTTGTCAATTTAAAATTGTACATTAAGAATTGAAATTTATTGAGTTGTAAATTTAAAGTTATTATGTTAAGAATTTAAATTTGTTGAGTTGTCAATTTAAATGCATTTAGTACACAAAGCCTACTATGCTATGTTTGGTTGGAGTGAAAACTTGGATAAAATAAGTTTTTAGTATTTGATTTTTTTTCCGTGTTTGATTGGAGGGAAGGAAAAAGAGGGAGGACACAATAAGGAATGAAACATCCCTCTTTCCTTTGTATTTTTCTATACGCTCAAAATTGAGAGGAAGAAGGAAGAGAAAAAAGTAATAACTAATATAAATATGTATTTTTCATTTCTAATCTTTCTAAAAGTTTGAAAAGATATATATTTTTTAGAATTTTAAATATTAAAAGTATATTAGTAAAAATAATGTAAAAAACATATTTATCTTCCTTTCAATCAAACAAAAAAAATGTGCCATCTCATTCATCATTTATATTATTTGTTTCATCCAACTAAACAAAAGTGAAGGAAACACCTTCTATCCTATAAATATAAAAATACCACATCCATCCCTTTTCTTCCATCCATTTTTTTATCCCTCCAATTATACTGAACATACATTTATTTGAATTCACATCTAATATATAAAGTAAATAAAGTTGGATGTAAGATGGACCAAAAGGTCTTCGGTAGATACTGAATATTGAGAGTTTGTTCAAATCTCCCTAACCCGTGTCATGAAATGGTATGGGTGGGGTCCACGAATTAGAAGATATATATAAATATATATATATATATATATATTTATATTGGAAGCAGCAAAAAGTGCAACTGGAATTAGCACTGTTTTAGTGTTTACTGTCTCTTATTTATTTTTTATTCTTTTATTTCTATCGTCTCTCCTCTTGGCTGACCAACTGGGCAGCTATTCTTCCTTCTTCAGTTCTCTCTTTCTTTCTCTTTCTCTTTCTCTCTCTAAATCGAAAATGGAGTGTAACTCAACACGGATGGCCACTATCTTCATCTCTCTGCTCCTCCTAATCTCATCAGGATATTCGTTCTATCTCCCAGGTGTCGCTCCTCGCGATTTTCAAAGGGTACGTCCTTATACTATACACTCTCCCTTTCGTTCTTCAATTAAATCGATCTCTCTTTCGTTCATTATCTTTCTATTTGCTTGATCTTTGTATTAAAAAATGCTACTTGCTCACATTGTATGTAATCTATATAAATATATATCATTGATTTGTGACGTTAGTTTTCTTTTTGATACAATTTCTAGGTTTTGTTTCGATCCGTTTGTTTCCTTCCTTTTAGATCTCTTTTTTTTTCTGACTGAAATGGGTTTGGATCTAAAGTTTTTATTTTCGATGGAGATTGAACCCATGATCCAGTTTCTTCAGCTTTTCTAAGCTTTCTATTGGGCATGAGATTTTGATTTATGTAATTATGTGTTCCATTTAGGCCTTGTTTATATATCTATCTGATGATCGTTTTTTGGTTCTTGATGAGATGAGTTACCACAGATCTATATTGTTTACATTTGTAGTTTGATGAGATTGCCTATTTCTAAATCTAATTTTCAATGAGTAGGTAGCAATAGGCATGTGTGTTTGGGGCACATGCAATGCCTGTTTGTGCGTCTGTTTCTGTTGGTATCTGATTTTTTATTTTTTATTTTTTTTATTCAGTGCATAAATGTTGGCTAATTTTGTTTTATGGTTATGTGAGATTTGAGGAATGTAATACAGGGATGCTGGCATTTGGTACTAGCTAGACAAGTATATAATTGCTTAATTTGTAGCTTAGGATTTAGCAAGATAGTTCATATTTGACAATGTGAAGGCATGTTTTCAAAATTGTGTGTTATAGAGTAATGCTTTAGGAGAGAGCTTGGAAAATATCTCCTTTGAGCGAAAAGCATTGGTGGGGGAGGAGGAAATAAGAGGGTTTAGTAAGGAAGAAATCTGTAATTTGCATTTCATTTTCCTTGAAAATTTGAACTTTTAATCATGTGCAAGCATGAAGCTGGAGAGACAGATAGAGAGGGGACTCTATCATACCTGCTAACTCCTAGGATTGGTAGGAATACTTCCAGCCTATGTTGTACTTAGCAAATTGGGTGGATGCAGTGATTGATTGATTGATCAATATGAATCTTGAGAGTGGATGGTTAACCGTCGCCTCCTTGTCATGGTGGATCTCTAGCCGGGGAGGGGCTTGATATCTTAACATTATGTCCCTGTATATGTTAAAAAGAGTGACCAATTCAATTTTTCGAAATTGATAGAAAATTTTACTTCAACTTTTTTGCCTTACTTTTGAAGTCTAATCTTGTGAAACAAAAATGTAAGTTTATTGTTATGGTGGGCCTTACCGTAACACATCATTACTTCATTTATATTTTCAATAATATACGCACATGTATGATATCGATTATAGGAATTAAAGAGAGAAAAAAGAGACACTAGTGTCCCCTCATGTTTAAGAAAGATACATGAACCTTCTTTCTCATACATTTTTGTTAGATAGTGTTCCCAAGGGAAAAAATCTTAAATTATATACTAATTTCCATCTGGGAGTCTTTGGTGCATCGGGAAGAAGCGAAAATTGAAGTGGTATGATACCAAGATAGCAAAAATGTCGGTAACAACAATGATATCATATATGCTATTTTTTTTTAGTTGTCACTTGTTAAATGATTTTTTTTTTTTTTTTTTCATACTCCTTGTATAAGTTATTAATGCATTTCTCTATTTTATTTTAATAATTGTGTTTTATTAAAGCTTGTGGGATTTTTTTAGTTAAAATGGTATTTTTATTGTTGTTAATCTTTCATCAAGGTAATGATTAATATATTTTTCTTAAAGTGGAAACAAATTACTCTTTCTTTCTTTCTTTCTTTTTTCTTTCATAAAATGAATTTTTAGACAATTGAAACAATTGCTTGAGAAATATATATTTTTTTACTAATGGTCTTTCTTTACCACTTCTCTTATTACATATTATTTATCGTTTACTTTTCGTTATGTGTTTTAGAATTTCTGGCTCGGCCCTTGGGAATAACGGTCGGTCAACTGTTAACTCACTGGTGGTACATATTTCAGGAGTTAGATCAGTTGCCGATTAACTCAATACAAATAATCCCACTACAGCAGGACCCGTTCAACGTTGTTCAAATATGAAAAGAATTTTTACTTGCTTTCCCACTAAATAATGAACCAAATAGAACCTTGACACAATACTATATCTCCTTTCGTGGAAGTCTGCATTTGATCTGTAGATCCTGGATCTACTGTCAAGTTTCCTGTGTTTTCTGCATTAATATTGTGAGGATGTAATTTGTTGGTGTACTCGCCATTATTGGTTTGGAAATACAACATTATTACCAACAGGCCAGTGGCCTAGCGGTACCAGGGGTACCATGTGTGTGTGAGTACCAACTATGAAAAAAAATAATAATAATAAAATTATTATTATTATTATTTTGAGGCCTTGTCAGAGAATAGAAGCTCTTCCAAAAACTTGTGTGTGCTGCTATATGCGGTGGGCACACAGTATTCTTTAGTAAAAGGCAAAATAATAGTTTGCTCTGTGTGTAAATGCGCAAGTATTTCTTCAAGTTGTGGTTTGATTTGAAATAAAATGCTTACTTTACTTGGAAATTGCTCTAGGTAAAGGTGAAAAAATTGGTTTGCAAGATGTGAGTTTGCCAATTTGGCTCACATAATTTATCTTATGGTTATTATCCTTTTGTATGTTTTGGAATTTGCCAGAGGTTTTTTAATTTTACACCTTTCCAATTTATTGTTTATCTTGAATAAACTGTTGTTTTATGGTTGTTCTCCCTCTTAACAGGGTGATCTACTTCAAATTAAAGTGAACAAGCTCTCATCAACAAAGACTCAACTTCCATATGACTATTATTATTTGAAGTACTGCAAGCCTACCAAAATTCTGAACAATGCAGAAAATTTGGGGGAGGTTCTTCGAGGTGACCGTATAGAGAATTCTGTTTATACCGTGAGCATCTATTACTATCATTTACTATCAAGTTGGTAGTTGGTACCCAGAGAAAAACTAAATATAAATGTTTAACTCTTTTCTTTTTCCTTTTTTTTTTTTTGCCTTTTATCCTTTCCTGGCGAGTCACCATGTTTTTTTGGATCTTATTTAGTTTCATATGAGGGAGGAGCAGCCATGCAAAGTGGTCTGTCGAGAAACGCTTGATGCTGAATCTGCTAATAATTTCAAGGAAAAAATTGATGATGAATATAGAGTAAATATGTAAGTGCTGAATGGATGCCTCTTTCTTACTCCTTGTCTATTCAGGACTTGTTTGACATATATTATGTAGTTGGGCTCATTTGCTGAAGTTCTTATTCCCATATATTATTAATGTCTGAAAATTTTCTATATCATCATTTTGTTGGCAAAACTAATTTGGATGTGCAAGCATAATGACTTTGCATAATTTTGTGTTTGGAATGAAATCTCTGAAATTGGCATACAGGATTCTGGATAACCTTCCAGTTGCTGTTCTTAGACAAAGGAGGGATGGAAGCCAGTCAACCACTTATGAACATGGTTTTCGTGTTGGTTTCAAAGGAAATTATGCAGGGGTGAGTTGTGGTGGCAGACTGGCAGTAACTATTGTGGAATGCTCATGTATTTATGTTCAATTTACGCACTTATTTGCTTTTGCAGAGCAAAGAAGAGAAATATTTTATCAATAATCACTTGAGCTTTAGAGTCATGTATCACAAGGACCCTGAGACTGATTCTGCTAGAATTGTTGGGTTCGAGGTTACTCCAAACAGGTTCTGTGCTTTCTACTTGCAATCTTTTTATTTTTAAATTTTTTGTGTTTTACATTTTTTTTTTTTTTTAGTGTGAGCCTGGGTGACATTGAGCATATAGTTTATTTGGTTATCATCTGATGATGAAGCATGTGAGTAAGTAGCAACCCTAAATGTGGAAAAATTATGAACACCTACAGAGAATGGAATTCTCGGTATACGAACACTTGTGGGTCTTTTGCGTACGGAGAGGGAGTCTCCTAATGGTTCCATATGGACTAAATTTCTTGTGTCAGCATTTTTTGTGAAGAAATCAAAATTTCATATGCCAATGAAGTAACATTTCAATGGAAAATTTATTTTATTTTATTTATTTTTTTTCCCGGGAGAAAAGGAGAATCCTAAAAACTTCAGAGGCTTCCCAGTAAGAGATGATTTGAATTGGTCACAGTAAAATATCCTTATCTTCGAAAGTCCTTTGTAGTTGTATGAGTTGATCTTTCCTTGTCATCAGCTTTTAAATTAATTTTATAAACTTCATATTCCTGCTTGCAGCATGGTCTTGAGTGTTCTCTGTTTTGTTTTATGTTTTCATTTGATGTAAATTTCCAAGCTCAAAGCATTCTGTATAACTATTTTTATAGAAAATTATGCATATTTCTTTAAATTAGTATTCATTTATTCTTGATGACTTGCTTGAATGTGGAAGAAAAATGCTTTTGGTCTCTGTGTATTGTGTTTGTGTTCATGATATATCTAAGAAAGTAGCAAAATGTCAAACAGCTTCCTTTCTGGGCTTTGTCAAAAGGTTGCTGCTTTATTTTATTATTGTCTTATTGCCTGACTATCATGAACAGTATTAATCATGAGTATAAGGAGTGGGATGAGAAGAACCCTCAGTTGACAACGTGCAACCAGAACACCAAAAATATACTTCAAGGCAGCACTGTTCCACAGGAAGTTGAGAAAAATAAGGAGGTTGTGTTTACATATGATGTTTCTTTCAAGGTACACACTCAATATATTTGACCTTTCTCACACAAATCTTGATTAGTCTGTCCTTTTATTTACTTGCTATTTTTTTTCCCCTTTTCAGGAAAGTGATATCAAATGGGCATCACGTTGGGACACCTACCTCCTCATGAATGATGATCAGATCCATTGGTTCTCCATTATAAACTCTCTGATGATTGTCCTCTTCCTTTCTGGCATGGTGGCCATGATCATGATGAGAACTCTGTACAAAGATATTGCAAACTATAATCAATTGGAAACCCAAGATGAAGCTCAGGAAGAAACAGGATGGAAACTTGTTCATGGAGATGCTTTTAGGGCACCTGTCAATTCCGGATTACTGTGTGTTTATGTTGGGACTGGTGTTCAGATCTTTGGAATGACACTCGTGACAATGATATTTGCATTGCTGGGTTTCTTATCACCTTCCAACCGAGGCGGACTTATGACTGCCATGGTTCTCTTATGGGTTTTCATGGGCTTATTTGGTGGTTACTCCTCAGCACGATTATACAAAATGTGTAAGGGGACAGAATGGAAGAGGAATACCTTGAAAACAGCTTTTATGTTTCCTGGTATTTTGTTTGCCATCTTTTTTGTGCTGAATGCACTAATCTGGGGGGAGAAATCTTCTGGAGCAATACCCTTTGGGACTATGTTTGCTCTTGTGTGCTTATGGTTTGGAATCTCAGTGCCCTTAGTGTTTGTGGGGAGTTACTTGGGTTTCAAAAAACCTGCCATTGAAGATCCAGTAAAGACGAACAAAATCCCTAGGCAGATACCGGAGCAGGCATGGTACATGACACCGGTCTTCTCTGTACTTATCGGTGGCATTCTTCCATTTGGGGCTGTTTTCATTGAGCTATTCTTCATCCTCACATCCATATGGCTGAACCAGTTCTATTATATCTTTGGGTTCCTTTTCATAGTTTTCATTATCCTTATTATCACTTGCGCGGAGATAACCATCGTGCTCTGCTATTTCCAGTTATGCAGTGAAGACTACCATTGGTGGTGGAGGGCTTACCTGACTGCTGGCTCCTCTGCTTTGTACCTTTTCCTCTACTCAATTTTCTACTTCTTCACCAAGCTGGAAATTACAAAGCTGGTTTCGGGCATCCTTTACTTTGGATATATGTTAATCATGTCGTATGCCTTCTTTGTATTGACGGGGACCATTGGCTTCTATGCTTGCTTCTGGTTTGTTAGGAAGATCTATTCATCAGTGAAGATTGATTGATGTGCAGTTCTTGAGAGAGTGCTGGGTGATTACAAATTGACTTGTGTGAGTAGATGAAGGCCTGGACCAAAGAAGAGGTTTCCTCTTTGCGCAGGATAAGAGCTACACTCCGAAAAGTTTTCCTAACCTAAAACCTAAACTTTTGTTATTTTGCTGATAGTATTGTAGGGCTTGGCATGTATGTTCCCATCCTTTATACCAGCTTTAGTTGTTATGACTTATGAAATGTACCTTTGGTAATTTCTGCCCAAGGAGTCTTAGAGAGGTAGTAATTCTTGTAGAACTTTATGATAAACTCTTCACCACTGCCAATGCAATTATTAGTTGGTAAAATTTGTTCTTTTTATAGTTGCTTGATTTTCTTATCAGTTGATCTTTTATCTACTTGTTCACTCTCTCTGTCTAACCTCTTATTTGTTTACTTTTTGGTTTTGTTGATAGTTTGGCGGGGATTATAGAAGAAAAGATTGGAGAGAGTGGACTAGGGAAGCCTAGTAGAAAGATTTTCTTGAAATTATTTAAATTATGTTTATCGAATTGGCACATTACAATTAGAAGACATTTAGGTCAAGTTGCTAATTCGATGCTTGTAAATGCAACACAAGTGTATATTGCAGATTTGTAACTTCCTAGCTCAGATCTTCGTTCCCAGCGAAGGTGATGTTTGCATATGGACAGTCAATAGTGAAAGCAGTTGTTGCCCTCTTTTTGAAAAATGTTTTCCTGCCACTGGTAGAGAAATGTGCTAGTTTCATTTCAACAAACAGGGTTGATTCTTTGATTGTGGACGGGGCATTCTCGGATTGTGGTGGGGCCCACGTAGGTCTCTGTGTGTAGTCGGTTATACTGTTGTTGATAATTAATTAGAGCAGTAAATTCGAAATAAATTCGAAATGTGCATCACGAAATAGATAAATGGAAGTATTTTTCCACTCCTCTTAGACTCTCCCACCACTTCTCACACAGTAATTTCATTTTTTTGTCCCTTTCCGTCAATCCTAACTTGAATTCCTCTTGATAATCGTTGATTTTACAGAATATTCCAGCAAAGATTTGAATTCTCCGGTCAATACTGATAACTTTGTTCTGGCTTTTATTAACCAACTTGAATTTTATTTTATTTTATTTTATTTTTGCTTCCCTTCATATATAGCAACTTAGAACTTAGAAGTTCATAGATTGACAAATTGACACCATTAGACTTCCGTTCACAATTTAATTTAATTGTGGCGTCTGCACAATCTTACATTAACTGGACCCAAGTATAGGCCCGTTGGATTCACCGCCCACATGGCACGAAACACAAACTAGGAACTGAAAATGGGCCTAATGTCTCATATGCACTAAGACTTCAGTTGAACTTTAATTAATTTAAGAATTAATTAAACATAACACAAACGCTATACAATAATCCTAGAATACTCAGTGTACCATATTCTCGGTTCTCTTAGTGAAACAACAACCGAGAGACCTTGTGAATGCGATAAGCCTAGAGTATTGTAAAACTTCTCAGGAATATAGTACCCCTAAGGGCAAAGCTAGTGTAGGTCTTGGGCCCTCGCCCAATCCACTATAATATATATGATTATTTTGTATATATATGTACATGATTTTTAAAATATTTTAAGTTAAATATTTAAAAGTATCTTTTAACTTATTGTTTCTTTTACTCTTTAAATGCCTTTCATTTCCTTTCAAGTCAAATTTCCCTCCACGAATCACATTTTAAATTTTTTTCTTTCAAATTTCTCTAATTTTTATTTTTATTATTTTTATTATTATTATTTTTAGCATTCTTCTTTTTGCACGTTACATAGGATGTATGTGATATGTAACGTTCTATTTTCTTCTTATTCTTTGTATTTCTCTTCTTATTATTTAGATTTAGATTTATTAATGTAATTTTATAATTTCATGCAATATGGCTTTCAAAGTACAAAGACGTACAACTGAATAGAAATATTAAAAATCAATATTTAAGTTCTTGTGTTCATCAAGTATTTATCTTTCTTACACTACTGATTAATTAACATATTATTTTGCAATTATGTTTTGTTATTTGCCTCCTGATTTGAACAATCTATACTTGTTAATGTTAGTTAATTTTTTATTATCCCAGCCAGTGCTAATTTATTGTTTATAAAAATTAAGACAAATATAATAATTTTATTGGCCAAATTATTAAACGTACGTACCAATACTTTTGTTATATAATACCCAATATTTTTTCAAGGATACGTGTCTTATACTTCTTAAATATACATACCTGATACTTTTTAAGTCTTTCGATTACGTATCTGACATTTCTCAAAAACATTACATTACATTTTAAGAAGTTTGAACATTAAAATGTAACTTTTCCAACAATATATAATAGCATAATATAATTGTTAAGAAAAGTTCAAATTTCATTGAGTGATGACTAGATGCTTGTTTAATGTATTGCGAAATGAACTTTTATGTTATATTAATATGGGTAAAGTGCATTAAACCCCCCTAAACTATACCTCAATGAGCAAAAAACCCCTCTGAATTTCAAAATAAACAAAAAAAAACCCCTTAAACTATTTAGTTAATTGCATTTTACCCAATCCGGCAACCGGCCGATCAATATCCTTGCACGTGAGAGGCCAAATTTATGTAAATGACTATACAACCCTTATCAAGCCCTAACTATTTCACTCATCATCTTTTCCTCCATTGATCTGTTTGGATTTACAGAACAACAATAAAAAATCAAAATCAAAAAATCAAAACCCATTTACAGAACAAAAAGCTTGGATTCATCCTTGCCGGCCACTCCTCTCCACCGCAACATTTCTTCCTCACGGCCGAGCCTTGGTGAAATGAGAGAACTGAGAGATTGAGCAATGGTGAAATTCCCTTTCCTGATTACTCTAATTGAGTCCAATTAAAGGGCATTCAAGTTTTGGGTTGCAAGAATAGGAGATCTTGTGGCCGCAAAAGATTCAAATTAAAAGACAGGTGGACTGAATGGCAGAGGCGGCGGCAGCTCAGCTAGTGGAGGGCTCGGCTGACTCGGTCTTCAATGATTCGCGGCGACAAGCTTGGCGGGATTGAACGACGGCCTAACTCACGGCGAGCAAGGAGGCTTCGGACCGGTGGAGACGATGAAGACGGGCTCGGCGGTTTTGGCTTCGGATGATATCGGTTGTGATGGACAGCGGGTGGTGCAGTGGCGGTAACAGACAGGCGAGGGCATCAATCGACGACATGCTCGGTCTTCTCATCGACCGACGACATGCTCGGTCGAACCATACATCACAAGTCGTCAAACCCAATTGAAACCACAAACCCTCCACCATCGTTAATCTCAGATCGGAAATGAAGAAGATGATGTTCGCATAGCCCGATTACCCTTGGAGATAATTCATACCGAACCTCACGACACGCCGTCAAACCCAATTGAAACCACAAACCCACTGCCACAACCACCATCACCGCCATCACCATTTTCCACGACATTTTCTCTCCATCGCCTTGGAAACTCGAACTTTTCATTCTAATTCACAAACCCACTGCCCACTCCCCGCCACCACCATCGCCTACTCCTCACACATATATTCTGTTCTTGAACCCAACAAGCCCGATGCCTCTCCTCCTCCGGTGCTCCCGTCGGTGTACCTTTTCTCTCTCTGGTCCCTTTTTTCTCTCTCTACGAATTTCTCTCTCTATTTTGTGGCTTGATGAGGGGTAAAATGGACTTTTCCAATTTCCGGTGATAGGAGATGACCGGAATAACCTTCTCTATCCTAAGACTGCACTAAGATCATAGTTGAGGGGGGTTAGTTGCACTTGAAGTATAGTTTAGGGGGGTTTAATACACTTTTCCCTATTAATAATTATATTTAGATTCATAATATTTTTAAGAAATTGATCAAAAATAAATATTTATATATATATATATAAATAAAATTTATTAATTTTTTTATTGTAATATCTTGTCATACTTGTCTCTTATTTAAAAAAAAAAAAAAAATTTATCGTATCGTGTGGTATCTGTATTCCGCATCCAAATCGATACTTTCTAAATAACCATTATTGTTCTTAACAATAGAAAATAATATATAGCACATCATAGGTTGAGAATGCTATATTGTCGGTACCAAACATTTTTCCTAACATCTATAATTTTCATACCACAGGCACTGCTCAATGCACTTCCAAGTCAACTTGTTCTAAACCAAATCCGGACAGGAGCATTGGTAAATAAAAAAATTAGGAATTATATTCCTATATATCTTTAAGGGTGAACTATATTAAACTGTCTTTTCTATTTGCGCTTTGCATTAAACCCGCCTTTTAAATTTTTTTTGTCAAAAACTCCCCTCAATTATCTAAGGGGAGTGACTTAACAAATCGACAGTAGTTAAAAGGGAACTGAAATATAAATTGACTTAAATACCCACTAAGCCTATTTAAAAATCTACTATATGGGTTGTTAATTTTTTTATTATTATTAAATAACCTAAATAACATCATTCATAGAAATTAACACTTCTATTATTATTATTATTATTATTTAATATGTTAACATTTTACTAGACTGACAAGTTTATATTAGTCACATGGAAGGAATTTTTTTTATACTGAAATATATATATATATATAAAAAAAAAAAAATAGAAGAAGAAGAAAACATGTAGGCATAAATAATATAAAAAAGGAAAAAGAAAAATTAGGCATTATTTCTCCTAATGTCCCTTTAATATGTATATATAAAATGAAAATCAACAAAAACTAAGTAAATGAATGCACAATATAATTCTCAAATATATATATAAAATGAAAATTAATAAAAACCAAATAAATGAATGCACAATATATTTATTAAACATATATATATATATATAGCAGATAAATTTCACACTTTGTCGTCGTCTCTTCATTCAATTACTTTAAATGATATGTGGTCTCTCAGATTAAATAACTTAAATGCTAGAAGAGAAGAAGGAAAAATAAATAAAAAATAAAAATTCAGAGTTCAAGAAAAAAATTGTTGGAGGTACTTAATGCTTTATGCAATTTTATGTTAATTAGTCCGAAGTTTGTTGTTTGAGCTTCAACACCGGAAAGATCTACAAGTACACTCAACAAATTGTTCTATTAATTGAATTTCTTTATAAAAATAGGTATCGGATTTTTATTCGAATCCGATCTGATAACTCGGATATGGATTGAAAATTTAATCCAAGAACCCGTTAACGATCCAAATCCGATAATTCATTTCCTTTTATGTTTTGAGATTTGAACCACTGACCTCCCTTTGGGAAGTAAGAGGCTGATACCGCTAGGTCACTGGCTCGTTGGTT